AAATGCAAACCCAATAAATTTTTTCATGTTGAATAGAAAAAATTCAAAATACACAAAGAAACACAACACATCTCTCATACAAGTTGTCACCACACCTGAGAAGCATATTTTCTCCAGGGGATGACAAGAATGAAGCAATTTCACTTTTTCATTATCTCATTTTGCCTTTAGGATCATTCCTTTTTCCAGGCCACTCTTGCACCAGACAAACATGTGACCTCGCTAGGAACAAAGGGACATGCAAGGTCAGGGGAGAAAAACTCTTTGCCTGCACTAAATGAAAATGGATAACAAAGGCTGAGCCCAGGGAATAACATATGTTGCAAATAATTGTGAGTACCCACTTCCTGGGAGATTTACACCACACAGTTCACACGTCAGCAACTGTTTGCCTATAATATAAATTCAAATTGACAAGAGTGAGGTACTATGGAACAGTATTTATCTCGAGATTGTCAGGAGAAGTCATTTCATTTCTTATGATTCATTTCATTTATACGTTAGTGTATTAACTGGATACATTATTGATCTTTGCTCCATCCAATTTCAGCTTCTAAAGCATGGACAAAGCGATCTGAAAAATATCACTCCTGGTTTTTCTTTTTCTTTTTGAAGCACAGGATTGTCTGATGAAAACATCTCACTGTATTAGACACTCTATCAAAGGAACACATTCTGGAACAAGCAACTGCTCTTCAGAAATACCTTACTGCTAAAGTCAGCTTTTCTAGAGTTTTAAACTAGAATCTAGAAAACTGTGGTTTTTCTAGATATTGTGCTCTCCTCTCTGCTTGACTGGATAAAAAGGCAAAGAAGGAAGCAATGATGACAGTTCTGGTATACTAAAAAAAAAAAAAAAAAAAAAAAGGAAAAAGGGAGGGGGGAAAAGGTTGCCATCAGAGTGAGACTGTTAGAACTCTGGGTGAAACTACCCTTCAAGCAGAGAGCCACTTCAAACATACAAACCACAGCTGTCACTCTGCAGAACCGCAGGTCTTCCACTCTAAGACAGTATCATTTGACAGCTGCTACAAATATTATGAATATCATGGATTATCTGTTACTTTCATCTGACAGTCTCTGAATTATAATGTAGAGCCAGCTATTACAGAAAAAAATATTAAAATAAAAAAAAAGTATGGGGGATGTAACAAATGAGCAGCAGAAAGCAGAGCATCAGGATGTCCTCCTGATGGTCAACAGGCATGAAAAGCACACAGATGAGACTAGGCTGCTGTTTAATTTCATTTGGATAAGCAGCAGGATTTGCAATTGTGTCAGAATCGATCTTCACTGTTCCCTAACCCTCCCTGCCTTTTTGGAATGCATCAACTTTTAAAACTCTGGACAGAGATACTATAAACACTTTTTACTATGCAGTTGCCTCAAAAGACAGGGAGAGGAGCAAATGCCAGCATTCCACTTGTTTCATCTGGTTAGGGTCCAGCAAGATCAGGGTCCCATTGAAAAAAGCATTACATAAGGGAAGAATAGAAGTGTTACTTTCCCAAGAGCTTACAATGAGGAGAGACAAAACATCAGGAAATCACTCAAGTAATCCATAAGCCAAAGGAATACTAACATTACATCTCTTCCACTAATTCTTTCCAGAGCCAACACTCTCCTAGCAGTTTTGGCTTCCCACAGGAAAATGAGGTACCTCTGATCTCTGCAGTAACTGTGTCAGTGGATGTTCATATCCTAGATTCAAACTGTTCTGCACTGCTGAGATCTTCCTGATCTCGGTGGCTGCTGCACACCAGTGATGGCTTGCTGCATACAGGGGGTGTTCTGCAAACACAAAGGTACTGCCAAAGTCAGCGTTTTTCCTGGGGAAAGTAGACTTTGGCAGAAACAATTTGCTTCTGATGTTTAAAATGGCTGATCTCACACTTCTCTATTTTCCGGTCTTATGCGATTTTCTCATGGGCAGCCATTCCAATTCGTCACGTTAAAATTCTCACCTTCACACCGTAAGGCTATTTTGTCAGCTCCACTTTCCGGTTCTCCTGCCCCCAACCAGCAAGAAGCATTACCGGCCAAAATTTAACCCACTTACTGAAAAGTAGGTAGCAAAGCTGGTTCAGGCAGGACTCTTTAATTTCGAGTTTCAGAAGCTGCCTGCAGTGAAGCAATTACAGTCAAACACAACAAGGTGATACGATTTTACCTGGAATTCCCTATTCATCCCGAGCTCGCTGCCCGGACGCGCGGTGCGTACGCGCCATCCTGCGGCCACCGAGCGCCGCTGCGAGTCTGGCAGCCGAGGATCGCCTGGACCACCACCGCCGATCTTTTAACCCTTCGAGGGTAGCTTTGCTCCCCACTAGGCCCTCTGCAGACAGTACCGTATTTTTCATACACTCACGTTTAATAGACGTGAAATGATCCTTTCGAATAGGGCACTCAAATCTTACAGAGTAAACATGCTATAAAACTAAAAAGATTTATAGTATCCTAGGCTTTAGCACAGCTTCTTAGAGAGATTTACACTTTAGACTGGAGTTGATACAGTTGCAAGAAAAACAGCAACTCGGTTAAATTTTGGAGTTTATTGTCTCAATTCCTTGTCCAACTCTTGGTCCTCTGAAAAACAAACAAACAAACAAACAAAAAAAAAAAAAGAAAAAGAAAAAAAACCAACCAAAACTGCTTAGGTATTTCTGAAGTCCTTAGGGGAGAAGGAAACAGTGCAGTAACAATTTTTACCTAATCTCCCTATTCTTCTTAAACCAAATTGCTTTAGGTTTTCTTGTTCTGTTTGTTGGGGTTTTTTTTTAACACATAACTGGACATAGCTTAGCTGTGTGTAGAGATTTTAGAAAGAGGTAGCATAGTTTCACACGACAGGAGACATTTCTCATTAAGAACAACCATATGTAGGCCTTATTGATGCTTCATGAATTATGCAAGACTTGCAGCAAATCATCGTTGTTCTAAGTGTGCATGTAATAAACAAAGATAGCAAAGATATAACTTCTTACATAGTAGGAAAACAAAGAACTCAACTTCTGGTTGCTGAGGAGTATAAGCAGTGATGCAGATATCTGCCACATGAATCCAGCTAGAATATGCATCCAAACAATTGCATACTATTTTTTTTTCAATAGGATGACATCGTAATTGGCTAAGAGACCAGAAAAAGCCCACAAAAATAAATGGAAAAACCTTCTTTTGACTTCTCCGGGCATTGATCGGTGCCACAAACTGTAACACTGACAACCTGGAAGTGAAAAAACAATTACACAAAAAGCAGTTCAGATTCAATCAGTCTTTCACAGTCAGGAACCCACAGAAGATCAGTATCTCTCCACTTGTTATTTCACATTTATATACCCATCTTTTCTTTTTGCCTGTACAACGCACTATTAGAAAACAATTACCTAAATGAGAAATTCTTCAGGTCATTAAAGCTAATAAAATTTGATTTTCAGTGTAAGAGCATTCACATGCCAACTAAGAAAACAATCCTTTCTTAATACACCACAAGCAGAGTAGGAACTCCATTTCTATTTCAATCTACTCCATCTAATTATGGAGCCTTTCAGCAGATCCAAACACTGCATAAAGTCATCCAAGTTAAAGAAGAAAAAGGGTATCTTGTTAAGGCACCTCATCCTTTTTCTCATACCTCAGCTTTGCCTTCAGCAAGTTTTGGAGTGTGCCAATTAAAAAGTGCTTTGAGCATTGGCCACCTTAAAGCCTGATGATTTACTGATTTAAAGCCTAGAAATGCTCCTGCCTCCAAGCTATCTACAAAGACTTCAAATTACGCCTGATTTTGGCATATCCTCACACCGTTTTTTCAGGCTACTTTATACCTAGATCTCTCTCTTCCAATTTGCACTCAGGAGCAAGGGCCATGGCAGCCCCAAAATGCTGAAGTCAAAAGCCACTACTATAAAATAACATTGTCTCTTGCATCTTTCTAAGTAGCAGCAGTTACAACCACGTGTTGCATAAATAACAGAATATGACACCCAGCAAGAGGGGGACATATCACACCATATCCTGCTTTTCTTTGCACTGATATTACTCATCTGGGGGTAAAAAAAAAAATTACTTTCAGATGTCCAACTTCAAATTTTAATTTTAATACTGTTTCCTTTTTTGACTAGAACCTTTAGTGGAAGCATGATAAAGTGGATTAGAGGGTAAGTATGACCAGAAGAGGGAGGGAGGTGATTTTTGCCCCTCTACTTCGCTCTTGTGAGACCCCACCTGGAGTGTTACATCCAGCTGTGGGGTCCCTGACACAGCAAGGACATCGACTTGTTGGAGTGAGTGCAGAGGAGGCCACAAGACTGATCAGAAGGGCTGGAGCACCTCTCCTATGGAGACAGGCTGAGAGACTCAGGGTTGTTCAGCCTGGAGAAGAGAAAGCTCTGGGGAGACTTAAACCAGCTTTCCAGCAGCTAAAGGGACTCCGCAAGAGAGTTTGAGAGGGACTTTTTACAACTGCATAAAGTGATAGAACGAGGGGGAGTGGCTTCAAACTGAGAGAGGATAGTTTTAGACTAGATATTAGGAAGAAATTCTTTCCTGCGAGGGTGATGACACAGTATTCCTAGAGAAGCTGAGGATGCCGCGTCCCTGTTACTGTTCAAGACGAGGCTTGATGTGACTTTGAGCAACCTGCTCTAGTGGGAGGTGACCCTGCCCACGGCAGGGGGGTTGGAAACAGATCTTTAAGGTCCCTTCCAAACCAAACCATTCTGTGATTCTCCTCTGTTTTCCCTCACGGCCAGCCCCTGCTTCGCCCCGGCGCAGGTCGCACCCCGCGGCGGTGCCAAAGCCCGGCCTCCGCCTCCCCCTGCACCGCCGGGCTCCGGCCCTCGTTTCACTGGCACTGCACGGAGGGAACCGGCGGGGGAGCCGCGCGTTTTACGGCTCTGGCACTGATCCACAGGGCATCGGCGTTCGCACCCGCTCCGCCCCCCGCCCCGGGGCCGGGCCCGCCCACACCCGCAGCGGGGCCGGCGCCGCTCAGGGCCCGGCCGCTCCGCGCCCTCCGCCGGTAGGTGCCTGCGGCCCCCCCGTCCCCTCGGGAGAGCGGGTCTGAGCTCGGGGTGGCCCTGGGGACCCCGTTCTCGCCCCGGGGAGGGGCTGGGCAGCGCTCGGGGGTCCGGAGTGCCTCGGGAACCACCTCGGGGAGGGCGGCGAGGCGCCTCCTCAGTTATCCCTTAAAACGCAGCCGGAGCCAGCCCGTGTGTGCAACCAGCCCCGCGCCTCTGCGGGGGGAACGGGCTAGGGGGGTGAGCGAAGTCGAGATATTTTTGGAAAGCATGAGGTGGTTTTTTTTTTTAAAGCGGCCTTGCTGGGTAGATCATTTCTATCAAGTGCGAGCACATGCGTGTTGGTTGCTGTTTGTTTGTCCATTTCATTCCGGTGCTTCCGTTCCCTTCGGAGGCACTTTCCTTTGGCCTTTCCAGGCTTTGGGACTTCCCGCTGGACTGTAGTTCACTGTACACTGAAACTCTTTGGGCACCAGGGTAAAGGGGGGGAAACACTCATCAGATACATTTGAAAGATATTCTGAATTAACTTTTAAAAAAAAAAAAAAAAAACCACCACCTTTAACTTGACAAGTGTTGTGACTGATAATGATGGCTTCCAACTGTAAAAGCATTTCAAATGCAATGCTTAATACAGCTAAAAAAAGCTGGATCCTCATTAAAAAAAGAGCTGATTGTTGCTTAAGATCCATCAAATCTTCAAATTTGTAATCTGCCTTTAGAACCCCACAGCTGGCAGTAAAGGGAGGGGGAAAGTGGTTTTTTTGCTGTTCACTGGCATAATAACAAATTCCCTAGGTCAAAGCTGTACTGCTATTTGTGTTTATCAGAACAGGAACATATCTATGACCTCATCTCTCTGTGCAGTTATCACTGGGAGACTGTGAGAGAAGCTGAGAGTAATGAAGTTGAGACCTTTTCCTTCAATTCAAAAAGTGTAATAGATTCCAGATTTTAACCTGATTATGTCCACATTTAGTTTAAATGGAGCACATCTATGGAGATGAGGAATTAGAAGCATGATTCGTGGGAAATACACATACCAAAAGCACACTTCAATTCCTATTCACTTCCCTAGCTTCATGTCCAACTAATTACTCTTTCCATATAGCTATGAATTACTCTCGGTTCATCACTGCTGTGAGCGCCGCAAGAAAAGCATCTCCGATAAGACTCCTGAGTGAGTACATGTCCATTCTTCCCAGATTCTCATAAAGAGTATAATTCTATGTTCTGGTCTTTGCTGGGGTATCATGGCATAAAGACTTGAAGAGGCTCAAAAGAAAACCGTGCTATAAGCAGACAAGCAAGGCCAGATAATCGCTTTGACTTGGTCGAGACAACAAACAGGTATAAAGAAAAACAAGGTGAATAGCCTTGAACCATTTCAGAAACCCATCCAGAGTGAACAATTGGTATTATCATTTCAACAAGTGTCTGAAAAATCTCTGCTACTGTCTCTGAACCAGGGCTTTGGGCACAATTTGCTACCGAGTTTACCCTGGTTGTCCAGAAACAAGCAACTCCTAATGACCTGAAATTCAGTCCCAGCATAATAGTTCTTTCCACCTAGCTTTCCTGTATCTTGTTTATGTCCATCAATTCCTCACCATCCTCACCCCCTCAGTATTACTACAATTTCCTTTTCCATATTACACTATGTTTAGGCTACCACATTAGAGTCCTCTGTGTGACAGATAGAAAGGGTTAACTGCCTACTTGTTTACTCAGTTGAAACCTATGGAGACCTGCCAGAACTGGAGCACAAGACATATATCACCAGTTCAGCCTTCAGGGGTCAATTTCCTCTCTTGGTAAGGGGCTGGCATTTGCTGTGCTGCTTAAAATGCTTCATACAGGTACAGCTAAGTCAAGTAATTCACTCTGGGTAGTCTCTTTTTCAAGTGATACACTGATACACACCATAGAACAAATACTAAGTAGCAGAGTTCCTGCAGAAAGACACACTCAGACTGCAGTTTTGATGACAAAGTAAATCTCACTTTACCAGGCCAGATGTCACAGGCATAACCCAAACTGTTGTACTAACTGATAAGAATTAACTTCCCATGTTCAAGTTTGCTAATAAGTAGTCGAGAATAAATTTGATAACAGGAGGCTTTAAGCTAGATCTGGTGTCATCTGTCCTCTCATATCTGATGTAAAACTGTCAAGCCAGCATGAATGCCATCTTGTGAGCTCTTAGATTTAATATAGCCAAGTGCCCTTGCTGGATTAAAGTCCAGTCTGCACTGCATAGATTGGATCTGAATGATTGTGAAACTCTGACTTTAAAGCAAGATTTAAGATTTTCTTCATGGTGAATTACTTATACAGTGGCATTATTTAGTGGCCACTAAAACAAGGTTGCCAGAAATGTTTCCACTCCCTTATAGAAAAGCTATAATCATCTGTCAGCATAGCTGCACTACTGCCACATCAGCTGAAGTGAGACTGAACAAAAAACAAAGCCAGTCATTTCAAGTCAGTCTAAACAAAAGATCATTAAGATTTTAAATTCTTGAAGCTCAAAAGACATCAGTCACAGAAGTTTTAATAATAGAATAGTCCAGATTGTTTTAAAAGAAAGTACAGTCTTTTTAACTTCAGATGGTTTGTTTTCTCTTAGCCCGTCCTGCCAGTATCTCCCTCCATGCCTCCCTGAACACCTTTTTAATCCAAGCAGGAAGATAAGTTTAAGAAAAATTATCCTATTTAATTAATGATAGTTAAAAAAGTGAAATACAGAACAAATTCCTCTAGACCATTATTATATATTGACTAAAGGATAGGATCAGTGTTGCAATAATCAAATTGTAACCGTGTTGTTTTCCTTTTAATCTAGCTGAATTGATGCAGAAATCTCCTCCATCTCTCATCTCTCTGGCTGGAGGGGCACCAAATCCTAACCTTTTTCCATTTAAGAGGGCAACTGTTGACATTGGACATGGAACTCCTATTGAGATCGGGGAAGATCTGATGAAGAGAGCTCTTCAGTACTCAGCCTCAGCAGGGTATCTGTCACAGCTGCTTGCACTTCAAGACACCAGAATCAAAGGATCATAATATTGTTTGTTATTGCATTAATTCACCTGTGTTTTTAAAACCTGTACATAAACCCCTTTTCTCCAAAAACAGCCTCTTTCAAAAAACAGGCATCTTTCAATTTGCCTCACTCTAAAACCCTAATCCTAGTAATTCTCAAGCCAGAGCATTTCCTGGCTGTTATCATTTGAGAATCCAGACTCCCAAATCTGATATTAATTAAAAGATACTACATTACAATAAATACTCCAGAATGTAGAAATTATGTATTTTCATTTGGCACCATATATTAAAGTCAGTATGTACAACTTGTGGTAGTGAAGTGGAGGTATTTGTAGTTGTGTCATTTTTGGTACAAAACTTTGGTAAAAAAATTGCATATTGCCATATTTGAGTACAGAATGATCACTTCTACGAGTGGATGCTGTTCAGCCTTCACCCTGTTTCATCCTTGGCAAATTATTTCTGCCAAGACTTCAGTATGATAATTTGGTGTATGGACCACAGATGCCCATCTCATTTTCATAATTTGATAAAGCAGTCATAAAAATCACATCTAAGTGGATCTGTGTGACAGTTGAAGTCAGACTCTGGACTGTGTGCTAGATTTGGCAGCGATTTAGAGGAGCAGCCTAGCTTTGGCTTGTATAAGATGCACCTTCTTATTCATGTTTCAGGATTCCAGAGCTGTTGTCTTGGCTAAAAGATTTCCAGCGGAGCCTGCATGATCCCCCCACAGCCAATTACAGTCCTGAGCAAGGACAAATGGAAGTCTGTGTCACAACCGGCAGCCAGGAAGGCTTGTGTAAAGTAAGACCAAAAGCTTCATATGTTAAAAGCATTTAATTCAGAGAGATGTTTATCCCCCTCCATCAGTTCATTTGTATTCAGCTTTAAGTGACACTCTACAACTAAATGCAGGGTACTTTGTTAAATGAATGTCTGACAGTATTATCAATACAAGGTAACAGAACTGAAACAAAATTGGTGTGACATCCAAGTCTGTTGGGACTGCATGAATGTTCCAGTAACCAAAAAGCCTGTCAGAAAATATGCTGTAATGTAACATTCCATGTTATTCAAGTGGTGCAGTAATAAGTGCATAGATGCATTATGTGGTTTACCATCATTCTGTTGTAAATGTTTCTTCTTTTTACTTCCTGGTTTTTTTTAACTTCCTGCAAGTCCACTCTCACTGATGTTTATTTGATCCTGTCTGTAACTTAGAAAAGAGAAACAGTGCTTCAAGAGCACTGTCTTTCCACGTCAAATCACTGTTCTCTAGTTGAGTAGCTAGCTTAATTTGGCTCTAAAGCAGATTTTTCATCTGTTCATTTCTTTTCTCCCAGACAGGATAATTAAATGGTTAGAGAATTACTAATATCTAATCAAGGTTTTTAATCCCACTAAGTAGTCAGAAGTATAAGCACACATACAAGAATGTAGCAATCTTTCTAAAATAGACTTTTCTTTTGCAGGTGTTCGAAATGCTCATTAATCCTGGAGACAACATCCTTTTGGATGCACCCACATACTCTGGGACTCTAGCAGCTGTAAGTAGTCATTAGCTACAAAACATTGTAAATGTTTCATTTGAACTAAACAGCATTTTAATACCTGATCTGCAGTCTTATACACATTGTTAGCATTTACCATAAAAACATATCTAAGAATCAAGATTTTAGAGTTCAACTCTAAATATTTATAAATATTAATTCATATAAGGTTTTCTACTGAAAGTTCTATAAACACCATTCCAAATTCCTCTTCCAAATATGAGTTCATTCAAGGGCTAAGGTCGCATTTGATTGGGTTAGAAGGAAATTACATCAGGACATAGTTGGACTGAAGCAAATTTGTAACAAGTGGGTGTTTTAACATGTCAGCACATTCACTTGAAGTATTTCATGGTCAGATTATACCATAGCTATAAATAGTGTAAGATTGGAATAGGCCTGAAACCTCCATATGAAGAAGAGAATTAGAACTATACAAAAGCAACAAAGTTTCCTTCTGACAAGTAACTTAATCAGTGTTAAATGTCAGCTCAAAACACTTAAAAGCTGTAAGAAGGCTTAGAATAAAAATAATACACCACAATTTCAGTCTAGCCTCCCTTGCATTCAAAAAAATTCTGTTATTGTTTGCTGTGCTAAATTTAAATATATATTGTCTAATCAGCCATACTCTGTTAGAAATGTATTTTGACAGTGCAGCTTGCATTTTTACTTAAAAACGCAGAGCACTACATGGTACAAATTGAAATTCCTCAGAAGAGAGACAGCAAGCTTTTTCACTGGTATTTTACCTATATTTTTTCATACTGCTGTCAACATGTCCTTGCAGTGGCATCATTTCATTCTCCTTTGTATTGCTGAATATATCTATTGAGAACATATTGTTTGCCCTGTGTCAGTGAAGGATAGCTTATAGTTCTGGCGCTTCCACTGAAGTAGAGCGTAAACTGTCAGTAGGAAGCACGGTACTATGAACTTAACTGTCTGCGGTAAGAGCATGAGGAATCCTGCGAGAACACAGTTCAAATTCACAAAATCCCTTTCTGCTTACAAAACCACATGTGATTTCCTGGAGAAAAAGCTGCAGTTGAACATAGGAGTTATGCATTTCCTCTCAGTTTGCTTAGTAGGGCAAATAAAGAGTAATGTGGAAAGTTTGAGAAGCTTTACAGCAGATTCAGGCAAACTTGATTTTGACTCATGAGCAAATGGAGTTTGAGGTGGCTCTAAAATCAGAAAGTCTTTGTATTGATGATATTTTACAACACCAATGACAAAAGGAAGACCTTTGAATTACATCATTGTGACAGTTTTGTTCCTTCTATCAACAGCTGAGACCCTTGGGTTGTAATATAATTAATGTTCCTAGTGACCAACACGGCATTATTCCCAAAGCTTTAAAAGAAATTCTGTCTACTTGGAGCTCAGAAGATGTAAAAAATCATAGCCATCACCTTCCCAAATTCCTGTACACTATTCCAAATGGGTGCAACCCAACTGGCAACTCTCTCAGCACAGAGCGCAAGAAGGAGATTTACCAGGTATGTAGCTGAGGCCTTGTGAACCTTGTAGGTAGAAATGGATAAAAGTCAGTCTTGTTTCAGTTGAGGATGCTCATGGTGTTTGGGCCCGTTATTGGTCCAGTGGACATTCCTCCTAGAACTTGTTTCTAGCAGAATCTCTTTCATGACAAGTCTCCAGAGGTGGACTATGCATTAGAGAAATTGTTTCTCAGTGGTAGCCCACTGATGGCTGGTACCTTTTTGTTGTGGGCTTCTGACTGGACTTACTGCAAGCGGCCTGCACAGTTTGCTACGTGGAACAGAGCTCCAGTTACATACCTGGGTCCTTGTACTACAGATACTATGTTTACTCTTGTAATTGCTTCATGTCTAAAATGGGCACTTGAAAGCTTCTCATTATAGGGCCTTGTATATAAGGAATGACCAATCAATAGGAGCATAATATGGTCCTAATTAAAAAAAAAAAAACCAAAAAAAAAACAAACAAAAAAAAACCACCAGAATTTACAGTGTCTTTACCTTATAACAGATCTTTACTTTCTATTCATTTCTGTAGCTTGCAAGACAATATGATTTCCTCATAATAGAAGATGATCCTTACTACTTTCTTCAGTTTGAAAAGGTAATTTGTCTTCCGTAATCCTTAACAACACCTTATTTTCTGGTCCAGGAGAGAACTAAGGTTTGAGCCACGGATCTTACTACATGCTCCTTCTTCATGTCCTACCAAGGTATTTGTAGGCCTCACAGTCATTTCCCCTTTCAGTCATTGTCCCCTTTCTGACATTTTACATCCTGTTAACCAGCAGTTAAGTTCCTCAAGCCTCATACAGGATAGAATTTCCTTCAGTAGTCAGAAAAAAAGCAAGTGTGTCACTGAAGCAGCATTTGAGAATTGCAGCCTCTTAGTGGTCCTTTCAGACTAGTCTCTTTCATTCAGCAGAAGACTTCCAAATCCCCATCTACTGTAGCCCATTTCTACCCGTCTGCCTTTTGGAGAACCCAAGAGAGTTCTCCCAGGTACCACAGAAAGTGATAGTGGATAGGTAGCTTCCCTTCTTCATGTAAATTTTCCCCATATTTCACATGTGAATCTAGAGTTGCACAGTCTGCAAAAGTACCTAACTTCTGAAGTAAAAACTGGTCTTATAAACAGTAAAACATTGATAGAAGCTAAAGTTCAGTGTTTTCTATTTTGAAATACATTTTTATGGGAGGAGGAAGTTTCACTGAATAGTGAATAGTATTCATTGAATACTATTGTGTAGCTTTGTTAGAAAGTGTAGGGGAAAAGGTGTAAAAGCAGAATTCTTGATAAGTAAAAAGTATGCTGAACTCAGATCATCATATCTTCTGATTTCATTTTTTAATAAAGCAAAGCAAAAAGCTATAGGGCTCCCTTTTAGAAATCACAGTACCTGCTTACTCCACAAAGAAGTATTGGCAGAAAAATCATTATTTCTCTTTTCTTCTTATGGCACCATACCATAACTTGAACTGAGCACTTGTATGCTGAACAGTAGGCTAAGTAAGCATCAAAATATAACAAGGCTGATTTCTTGAAGACTTTCATAAAATATTGAAATCCCATCTCAGACAGCTAGCCTAAACAATCACTTGTCAGGAAGTTACTGTAATATTTTCCTTGGAATACACATCTGTAAAATATTAATTATCAAAATATTTCTTTTAGAAGTGAATTTTGTCTTCATAGTGAAGAAAATAATTCCATCTTAGTCCTTACTAGCACCTTGAATTTTATTTTTTATTTTTATTCCAAGCCATGGGCTCCAACTTTCCTCTCAATGGATGTGGATGGCCGAGTTATCAGGACCGACTCTTTCTCTAAAATTCTCTCATCTGGGTAAGGCCAGCTGCAGACTGCTTAGCATTGCCTATTCAGTTAAGGCACAAGTCTTTATACAAAATGATCAGACATGTCATAGTGGTTTTCCATCTAATAACTATCTACTTCTGGAATGAACTTCTGAATCCACAGCTTTTAACAGTCTGCTCACTTTTCATGTCATCTCTTGGCAGTCATTTAACTCCAGGTTCTGTCTCTCTTCTGATACTAATAGCTAAACCTCTGGCCCCAGGCAACCCATTCTTCCAGGCAACCCAGCTAGGCAGAAAGACAGATGCTGGATTCCAGCTATGTTCCTAGAACTCCTAGGAGCTTTTTTCTCTTCTTTTTCCATTTCCCTTTCTATCTCTTACCATTCCTGTAGACTCACTGGATTGTAATAGGAAAAAGAAATGATGGCATCATTCTTCACAAGCTATTCGTAGGGTTATACTTATATCTAGCCTTACAGTTCTTTCAGGTTGTTTCCACCTGCCTGAAAAAACTAAGTTGGCTATTTTCCATTTCACACAAGTCAACATATTTGATTTTTAACTTTCTTTTGTTTATAACCTCATCCTTGAGAAAGCAAGGAGACAACATGATGCTAAGTGTGATTGCACTTTCAGAAATGACACTATAAAATGGCATGATGCAATTTTATCTTTGTCAAAGACACATATGAGCTTACTGGTTCTATTTTTCTTCAAATAAAAACTTCAGCCAATCTGTAAAGATGGGTAGTAAGTATTGAAGCATAAATAACAATCTAGTTTATCAATCTAAATTCCATTTCTTCTGCAGTACTAAAAGGGAGTGAAAGAGTAAAGCCATTTGCCACTTCTCATCTGTTGTCATAAAGCCTGAGCATTCATGATTTTTCATTGTGTAAGAACCTCTTTCCTTCCCTTTGATTCATGTAATCTTTATGGTTGCAGAGGAAAGCTTACAAACACAGAATATGTCCAGAAGCCTCATATCTAAGAAACTACTGAAAGCATTAAAGCCCCTTATTTGTTATTATTTCATAACTTTGATACTCAGCTTCTATCTAAACTGCATAAGCCTGGGCCTTAGGGCCATATTAAGATACAGAGAAACTTTAAATGCATAAAAGATCCTGACACTATCAATGAAATGGTTACATATTTTCCCAGATACAACTCACACAAAGTATCAGCACATTGCATTCCTGCGGTAACTTTTTTCTATTTTGTTTTCTAGGTTAAGAATAGGCTTTCTGACAGGTCCCAAGCCTCTTATCGACAGAGTTGTTCTACACATTCAGGTTTCAACAATGCACACCAGCACTTTCACACAGGCAAGTACCAAACTGCCAACTGCATTGTATTTAGAAAAGACAATACATTCCAAGTTTTAAATATATATCCCATTAGTGAATACCTTTGCACTTTCACAGTTGCTCTGCACTTTTACAGTTTTCTTTATGCACATTCATTGTCCATTCTGCTAAAGAAAGAGGGACCACCATAGAACGTAGAACCAGAGGCAGAAGGTTGTCTCAGTGCATGGATAGCACAGCTAATATCCACAGCTAATTGAAATACTTTATATCTCTTGCCAGTAGGTTCATTTGAAAAACCTCCATGTAAAGCACACCTTGGAAGAAGCACTCTTTTTTTTTTTTTTTCATTCTACTTTGCAATTAGAACAATACTGGCAGCCCACAAAGACATTGCAAAGCAGGCTGCCAACTACAGCCCCTTTATGGTTAGTGATAAGGAAAGGAGACACTGAACATGTCTAAATATGACTTCCATCTTCCAGCTCCATTAGTTCGTCACAGAGGCTCTATTAAAGAGGAGAGGCTGATATGGACAGGAAGGTAAAGCAATATACACTGCCTTCCTCTTTCTCCCTGATTACCATATTTAGCTCTCCATCCATTTTTCCCTCCTCCCACCCCAACCTCCAAATGCTGCCATGATCCTTGGAGACACCAGTAACATGGACTGTAATGACCTGTTGCTGTTGGCACCTCTGTCTGTAAAGGGCTCCAAGATACACTGCATGCAGTTTCTTGCCTGGGGAATCTTGAATGCATCTGGCTATGCATTTTTTGATAATTGTGAAAGAGTCCTGTTTAAAATGTGGTATTGATGATGTGTTTTGTTTCTTTAGATTATGATATCACAGCTGCTTCAGCAATGGGGACAAAAGGGTTTCTTGGAGCATATTGACAGGTAGGGTCATGTCATATGCTGAATCCCATTGTCTGTTCTTCTGCTGCTTATTACCTACATCAAGCATTCTCTGCAGTAGATAAGTCAAAGGAGGTATTAGGCCAAATAGATAAGGCAGGTCACCAAGACTGTCAAGTTCACACCAGAGCCCTGAAGAAACTCAGTGTGAAGTTACAGACATGCAGGTCAGGGCATGTCTCCCACTACAGGCAAACAATCTGCCAGTCCACTGGCACAAGTATTACGCAGCTCCCATCTGAAGAGAACTTGAAAGGAGCCTGGAAGCTTCAAGTTAGTGAATAAAGTTTTCATGCCTGCTAAAGTGACAGGGTCTAAAGCAAAAGCACAGAATTTATTAAGAAAGAATCAGCTTCTATAAAAGGGGCTCTTGCCTCACTATGGCAGCAGGGATTCAGCCTCTAACATCCTTGATCTCCTGATTGTGGATACTGATTGGAAAACCTCCAGAGAGCAGTGAAGTTCATCTACACACACCAAACACTGCCTTCTTCATCACTCTTGGAGACAGAGCATTTCTTAAATACTGAATAATACACTTTTTTTTCCCCATTTATTATGCAGGAGGAGCATAGTTTCTTTTGAATATCAGTATCTCACTTTAGATGCTACACTTAGATACCGTTAGAGCCCCAACCTTCCTACTTCAGTAGGAGTGTGCTACACTCTGTAAAGGCCTGTAACAGGAATGTGAGCAAAGCATGCAGAAAGTTTCTATATCTCACTGTAACATCCACTTCTGTCCTCTGAGCACCTGCCTGATGTTCATACTGTAAACACCAGTATTTAGAAAAAAACAGATACACCAGCCCTAGCATTGCCTTGTTTTTAAGAATTAGGAACATAAAGATAAGTTTCACAGAGAAACTTAAACCACACTTTAGCTCAACATTCAGCAGTTACAAAAAAAAAAAAAAAATCCCAAATACATCTCTGCACTCACCTTCTTCTTGTGGGGCAAAAGGCAGTCTTTCTCAGGCCAGGAGGCTGTTCTTCCTCTTGAAGTAACAAAAATATGGTTGCAGTAAGGCAGGTGCAATGTGTTAAAGCCTTTTAAATGCAGTTGTCAGGTGATACTGATGAGTCCTGATTGCTGACTGGAGTCTCCTCCAGGTGATTTCATTAGTACAAAGTTGAGTTGTTAGATCATGCTTTTGACCAGGAGTCGGCCTGTTGTTTGGAGCAGCTACATTTTTAGGGCAGCATTGTCTTACTAATGCTTATCATTTCATTCCAATATGGAAGTAAATTTATAACAGAAAGGAAAAAACTTGTAATGGAATTTGCAATTTTGGTAAAAACTGCACAAGTGAGATTTACCATTTCATACAGAAGGAAGCAATAAGTATAGTTGAGTTCCAAAGCTATTGGTGTTGGAGTTTGTCTATCAGGTGTAAGAAAGTACATCCAGAAATCAATGCTATTGGTTCAGAGAAAAATTTGTATTTGATCTAAAAAAATATGGTAAATTATGCAAATAAAATTTGTAATTTATTTAAAAATACAAATGTGAAATTATGCAAATTACTAAGGATGTTTTCAGAGATGGGAACACATTTGCATCTGATTTATGAACTCTGTATCAGGCATTTCTCTTGTGTCTTCCGTTGCACAGCTGCATTATTTTATGTCAACAAAAACCACTGCACATGACTTATCCATGTTGAAATTTGGATCAGGGTCATTTTCTCCAGTAAAAGATTGAATTACTTGAAAGTTTTACCTGAAGTGTAAAGGTTCACAAGTCTAGAAAAGGGAAAGCTGTCAATAGGTCCAAAAGTTTAGAAATGGGAAAGCTGTCAAATAGTTATGGCAGGTTTATCATATGATTTGTTTTTGACCTTGTCAAATGCCATTTCCATGTGTACCCGTTACACAAATTCAACACAAATGCACAGACATTGAGACTATGCTTATGCATATGTTTAAGTCCTTAATTTTCTTCAGTATCTGTGTTTTGCGCAGTAAATATTGCTACCAGGACTTGTATCTACTGATATAATAGACAGAATAGGTATAATATATAACACTTTTCCATGATCTCTATGTAAAGCTTAAGAAGCAGCCACCCAAGGGCTGCTCCTGTCTGTTTGATCAGTTCTTTGTTGGAGGTGTGCTGCAGCATTGAAGACTTCTCTGATACATATACAAAGTTTTATACACAGAGTATATTGTGTTGTGCCCATCTAGGATGTGCTTATGTTTCTATTAAACGTGCACTTACGTCGTTCGAGTAGAAAAGTTTTGTTTCTGCCTTTGGAAATAAATGGACTCTGAAACACTATGAGTTCATGACTTTCAATTGATAATTTGCTTTCAGAGTGGTGGATTTCTACAGGACCCAGCGGGATGCAATGCTCATTGCTGCTGACAAGTGGTTGAAAGGTCAGAGTGCAACAGAAATAATTACTTAAATTTTTTTTCCAACTACTTATCATCTTTGTGCTCAAGAAAAATCACTTAAGTTCATCTCTTGACTGAAGTGACAGATAAGCACTATAGGCAAATCAATGACATTAAATATTAAGCTTAGGACAAATTTATTTATTGCTGTTGTTTTTATACTTCTCTGGTGCAACAAGGAGATGGGAAAAAAGCTCACCACATTACAGTATAAAGTAGTTTTAAAAAAAGCATGTATTTCACTTCATTACGTTCTTATACTTTTTCTACATAAAAATCTCTGTCTTTAAAAAATCGCTGAAATAGTGACCTTAATTTAAAAGAAGATACAAACAATCGCTGTAGCAGTCGTGATAATATTTTTTTTAATGTCAGTCAGTTTAAGATGTCCCCCTTTGTGGATAGCCATAGAGCACAGAAAGCATTTGATCAACAGCAGTACCATCCCGGTGAGTCACTCACTGCCTTTAGTCAGTCTAAGTAGAATCAGCGATGACTGCTGAAAAACTGCCCGCCTACCTTAGATGGTACTTCCATGGGGCACGGGTATTTGGGCACCACACAGTCATTAATGTATTAAGTCCTGGTAATTCCAGGTGACTTATGTATTTTTCTACATTGCTCTGAACAGCCATGGGTTGTTGGCCTACATAGGCCCCCTTTGCCTCAATTCCCCAAGTTCCAAAACAGATTACAGTGCTGGGATGCTGTAAAGTATATTGTGAGAATATACTCTTGTAAAAGACTGCAGGGTCTTCATGTTTTCTAGTAATAGAAGCTGTAATATTATGGAAGACAGACCTTTATTTTGTAGATATGTAATGGTAAAATACCATTATGAGGATGAACTAGAGAAGAAGATGTTAAATCAAATAAATAGTTTTTTTTAAAAATATGTCTGAAACCACATAAAGCATTCTAAGTAAACAAAAGGTATACAGTAAGTCTACAGATAAATCTTCTTTAAGTCTTCCATCTCCTCGGAACTCCTAGGGTCTCCTTCTCTTTGGGACAAAATCAATATTAATAGTAACTTAAAACAGTTGTGTGCCATATTAAGAGAAACTGCAACAGAAAAATTATTTTAGATTGTTTGCTTGATCCGAAAGCAATCAATAAATATAGTTTGCTAATGTTTGGGATTTCTGTAATGCAGAGGAATCATTTTCACAAAAAGTATTGAGGTTACCAGCTCAAGTGCAATAAGCCCTTACAGATGAGACTACTTTAAATTTGGCAAGTGGCAGCCTAGCTCAGTGGTCTAAGTTCCCTTTGAGTTCATTGGAACAAAAAATCCACAATATCACTGAAACTATGTATCTGATAAAGTTGGGGCATAAGTTTCTTCCTTGATTCCATTTTCTCTCTTTCTCTCCCTCTCTCTCCAGGCTTGGCTGAATGGTACCCTCCTGCTGCTGGCATGTTCTTATGGATCAAAATTAAAGGGATTTCTGATACACAGCAGCTGATAATGGAAAAAGCTTTGCAGAAAGAAGTATGACCTATGATTTAATGGCTTATGATCTTATAATGAAAAGTGGGAAAGATAAAATATCTGTATCTATCCACACATATATGCACACATAAAAAAGCAGGGGAACTTGTCATGCATCATTATTGAATCTGCAAGTCAGGCATTGTGGCATAGTTATCATTACCAAAATACTTTCATGTGTGTGTTCAGATGTTGATATTTAATTCATTTACTTAAACTGTTATATAGTACAATATGTCCTGTATACAACAGATATATATAGATATATAATATTAATCACAGAATCCTAGAATATTCTGAGGGATTGAGTCCAACTCTTGGCCCTGCATATGACCATCCCCAAGAGTCACACCATGGGCCTGAGAGTATTGTCCAAATGCTTCTTGAGCTCTGTCAGGCTTGGTGCTGTGATCACTTCCTTGGGGAACCTGTTCCGGCACCCAACCACCTTTTGGGTGAAGATCCTTTCTCTAATATTCAACTTAAACCTGCCCCGACACAACTTCAGGCCATTCCCCCGGGTCCTGTCACTGCTCACCACAGAGCAGAGATCAGTGTCTGCCCCTCCTCTTCCCCTCACAAAGAAGTTGTAACTGCAGTGAGGTCTCCCCTCAGTCTCCTCTTCTCCAGGCTGAACAGACCAAGTGACCTGAGCTGCTCCTCACACGGCTTCCCCTCAAGGCCCTTCACTGTCTTTGTTGCCCATATACATGTAGCTACATGTATGATGGCTGTTTACTAAATTTTAGTAAGTTTTACTAAATTTTAATATGAGAAGTTAATTATGGTTTTATTTCTACAATTTATAAGACCCAGCACTGTGTGCTGAGTAAACTACACCCTACCTCACTTGTGCCTCTAAACACTGTGATGATATATCAGACCCAGTAACCCACCAGCCTAGGTAACCAAAGACCCTTTGATTTTGTTGTGAAAATTCTGATCACAGGTTGTGTATTTTTGCCTCCTCATTTTGAACAGAAGAAATATCTTATGCCATGATCTGATATGAGTCTTTAAGCACTGAGCCTTCTCAAATTTAATTTAATGTAGTGTTTTAAAAACGCAGAAGTGGTAATAACTGGGTGGCTTATCTATTTTTCTTAGGTATTACTGGTTCCTGGAGGAGCATTTAATATCAATAGTTCAGAGCCGAGTTCTTATGTCAGAGCCTCTTTTTCTCTGTCTTCTCCTACTCAGATGGATCTGGTGAGATTTTTTTTGTTGTTTTTTACATTCTTAGCAAGACACAATAATGCTCCCTTATATTTACATACTTCTTATGTGTTTTGTTGATTGTTACTGTAGGTTTTTAGTCCTTAGGTGATTAAGTAGTACTTCTGAAGTATAAGCTGTTTCTTAAGCAAGGTACTCATTCAGATGACCTGAAAGGTACCAAATTTTCAGGACCACTTAAAATTTCTCTGTGTATCTCATATATGCAGAGTCTTACACTTAAATGTCCCAGATATTATTTATAAATGCTTTACTGAAGTCAGAGTGCATAGTAAGTTCTGCTTAAGCATTAGCAGGCATCATATATCTTTTTTTTTTCCAAACTGTCCATTCCCGAGATTCTGAGCCTGAATTAACAGTTTTCTTTTATGTGTGTGTTGTCAATCCTTTGTAAGAAAGAATATTGGTTTTCTTTCACACAATTTACATATGTGTTTTATTTCTCAATAATTAATCTTGTATGTGTTTTAGGAGCATGTTTGATGTTACTGGCTCTGTCTGCAAAATCAGTGGGAAGAAAGATAGAAGATATTTATTTGTGCAGATTTAATACCCATTTGATTCAGGTGTTTGAAACACTTCAATATTTGTAGTTATAATTTCATTCAATTGTGAAGTTTTGTAACAGATAAGCACTTCTATTGCTTTTTTATTGTTTGTGTATGGTTAGGGCAGTTTTAATAGCTTTACAGGTTTGATGTTTTGTCTGTTTATGTAATGCTAAATATAAATGTGAAACACATTTGTGTCACTGCAGGCCTTCAAGAGACTGGCTGACCTTATAAAAGAATCTTTGTGAAAAAGCTAAATAGAGCTCTTGCAGGGCTCAGAATCATCTCCAGAAAACATTTATTAACATTTGGATTTCATCAGAACATTTTATAAGCAAGCACAATACAGTAGATGTTTCCTTAGATATTCTCAGCTAAAAAAGAGACAAAAAATGGAAGTGAAAAACAATTTGCCTAATTTATTTTGACATGGCATTTCATTACTAAATGTATTACAATTCAAAAAAACTTAAAATACTAAAAACCAAATTGTTCTATTTCCTGTCAAATCTATGGTTTTGTTAGATTTGAATAAATTTTTGTTCTGACTTTTGTCTTGCATTTGGGTTGGGAAACAGAGAAATCAGTTGCTTAGGACACTGAACTTCAGGTGGTCTTAGCCACTGTTACTTAATCTCAACTGATACATTCCTCCAACATCTTCCATTGGAATTGTTTTGTGTGTCACTTTCCTTCTTGTCCTACTGTATGGCATCTGGTTTTGAGGACTTGAGGATCAGTATTCAATTTTACTAAAGTTTTGACAGATAAAACTGAGATAAGGATGTTTAAAAAAAAAGAAAACTGATCCAGCAAAATTAGGATATGATTTCAAATAAAACTGTATGGCCTGAGGTTCCTTGCAATTTTCATGGGCTTTGCAGCTCATTTTCTAATTTGTAAAAGGTTTTCTGATTGCTGGCTTTTACCTCAGTCTGTGAATAATTACTCTGTACCCGTGCTGGAAAATCTCTTGTTTGCAAAGGCACGTAGATGTGCCAATAGAACAGCTCTTGGTTAATCAGTCAGATGTGATTCTAAACAGAGAGTGTGCATAACTGAACATAGGACGTAGAAATTCCAGCATACAATAAACATGACCCAAAATCCTGGGACAGGCCAATGGTATTTACCTCTGTTAATGCTTGATTTTTTGGATGAAACTGCAAGAAAGTATTGTAAGTTCATTATTAACCAAACGCAGAGAAAGTTCAAAGGTCTGTGTAAATCAAGGAACAGAAATACCTTCATGTTAATTTTTTCCAGAACATTTCACAGTATATAATATATATATATACATATATATATGCATAGATAGATAGATAGATAGATAGATTTCACTTGTTAAATATAAGTTGAAAATAAAAAGAAAATATAATTTTGACGGTATTCTCCAAATTCTGTACAGCTATAGGGAATCTTCTAGCTGCAGTCAGATTTGTTAATGTATTTCCAGGACATTCATTCACAAAACGAGTCAGTAAGACCCTTATTCTTCTCCCATGGTAACGTCTGAGCTTTGCAGGGAGAAAATTAGGTTACAGCATGGTATTCCTGGGAGCAACAATGAAAATGTATCTTTCATTCAGAATTATTACAGTTCGAACACTGCAATTGTTCTGTTCCTGTGTAAGACACAGTCTAGAATGGGCTGCTCAAAAACTGTTATTGAATAATAAAGAAAACAAGATGGATTAGAGCATGCACCAGTACAGCTCAATGGAGTTCTTTTAGGTATTTGCCCCAGTGGATCACAATCCAGATTGCAACAGCAGGACCAAAAGCACTGCAGATCTGTAGGTTACAAGATTTTAAAATAGGAGGTTCCATACAGAAACAATTTTTAAAGGCTGAAGCTTAAAATGGAACTTGCATTCATAACTCAGGGGACAATGCCCCAAAACTAAACCAACTGTTTTCAACAATAACTCCACAAATTCTTAGACACCACCACTGATGCTCAGGGACTGACATTCAGTTAGATGAAATAATTCTCTGCATGCTCACAGTTCAACACAAAAACTGCTTGTTTGTATACACACGTAAGTTGTCTCTTCTAGTGAATTCCCCGTAAAATTCTTTTTTTCCCTCAATTATTCGTTAATCGCAGCTGTGCTGAAGGGCTCTTGTTTGAAAGTAAAGGGGGATATTTTCCTTCAGATCATTGACCTGTGTGAACCTGGAATTTGTGAATGTGTTTTATTGTGTGGAACCAGAGTGTAGGTACAAGAGAGGGGCGGCTAGATGACCACTCAAAAATAGGTCTGGAGACCCAGCCTATGGGAAGCTGCACACATCAGGCAGCTCTGCAGCACTGCTGCAGCCTCTTCCACAACTGCCCTCTACTCGGGCACCAGAGGATGTGCCTACTGCACCAAGCCCTCTCATTGCTCTGTATCCTCTCTTCCCCAAAGCTAGATGGTGTGTGTCACTTGCATCAGATGCCTTAAACCCACCTATGAATGAGAGAGGTTTCTTGCTCTTGGATGGATGAAACAGAAAAGGAAAACTAAAACTTTCATTTTCCACATCATTTCTTTCTATGTGAGCCTGTTACCCACTCCTCCTTTTGTCTCTGAATGGTTTCCTCCAGCAACGTTTAATCACAGCAAATTCTCTCTCTCCCAGGAGACCAGAAACTGTACATTAAGAGGTTCAGGGAAACAGCATGTGCATCTAGGATTTCACTGCCAATTGTTCAATTTGCATTGTTCAGGATATTAATTTAACTGTAGATGCTTCATCAAAATCAGGGGAAAAACCAAACTCTCTCTAAATTAAATTAGCTTATAGCAAAACCACCTAATGTGCTGCAAATGGAATGGCATTTTGCTTACATTTAACTAAATTAACATTTAGATCTCTGAAAATTAAAGGTTATATTATCAACACATCACCAGTATAAATCTTAATAGTATTTTGATTATGTTTTTCTAATTCGAGTTTGGCTGAATGACAATATGACAAAAGTATTTGACAATGAAAATAGCATTAACATGAGAACTAAAATCAGTCTTAAATTATGTTAATATTTTTCCTCTATAAAAATATATTATTTTAACTAAACAGACACATCAATTCATTGTTGCACAAAATGATTGTCTAAATTGAGCCCAAGATAAAAATTGCCTTACTGATAGCAACATCAGAGCTTTCAAAATTTCTACAAGTGATTAAGAAACTGAGTTGAGATGTGAAAATCTCCTGTTAAACAGCACTGCACAGGAGGCATTGCACATTAGCACCATCAAACAGTGTAAAATGGGAAAAGTTTGTCTGCAAAGACAGTGTTGGCACCCTGAGAGCAGATTTGGGACTGCAGGCTGTTCCCACACTTTGTCATTCCATGGGTCCTGGCTGCCCAAACCCAGCCTGACTCCATGGAGGAGCCAACCTCATCCACTGAAACACCTTGTCTGCCTGTGGATTTGCCTAAAGCCCCTCTCCTGTGGATTTGTCTAAAAGCTGCAGTAATCTGGTAAGTGAGCAAAGAATTGATCTTAGATATGATGTTCAAGAAGCTGCAAAGTGCAGAGATGGCTTGGATGTGTGACTAAATTAAAAGACAGATCCAGCTTTAGAGAACAGACATAAAATCGTCTTGGTGTCCTGATGTGCTAGCAAACAGGAAATTCAATCTTTTCTGTGCACATCCTCAACAGCCTGTCACCAGTAAGGACATGGCAGAGCATCTGTGTGGCTCAATAGAGATCAATGTCTGCCCTTTTTCTTCCCCTCACAAGGAAATTGTAGACTGCAATGAGGTCTCCCCTCAGTCTCCTCCAGGCTGAACAGACCAAGTGAAAAAATGTGTTGCTTCTTTCTGCTTTCTAAATGGCATAATAAAATTTTTCCTATTTGTATCTTTTTATTTCTTTTTAGTTAGTTATTCTTACCTATGAAGATCATATCAATTAGTCATATTAAACATATTAAACAAGTCATATTTATCAGAAAACTGACTAATTTGTGTTATTCTGTTTAAGCTTTCCTTCTGGATACCTTTAGGAACTCCTTACTTTTGCTCTCAAGATGAATTAGGTTACTCAGCAATGGTACTTTTATCAAGCATATTACAATAGCAGTCTTTTATGGCAACATTTATTTTCCTCCCTAGCAATTCTGTGATAACGCATAGATGTTAGTTCCCACACAACAGATGTGCAGAGAGGGCTTTTAGAAAGCAACATGCACAGATGACTCAGGGATTGAACTCTCTGGATAACAGTCATGTTTGCAAGTGCTGTTTACCATGAACAAGAATCCTAGGGACTCGTGAGTTTCAAAGCCAGCGGAAATAATCATCAGCTTTGTAAGGGAGGCCATACATTTTTCATTACCTTTGAGAAAAATATCCTATCTTGGTTTTAACTCTTGAAATGATGGAAAACCCACCAGAATAATCTGCTGATTAAAGAGCCCTTCATTACGTGGCATTCTCTCCAGTCATGTCACTTGTGTTAATTCAGCTATTTCCCTAAAGGCAAAAGTAAGGGATAAAAAGGATATATTTCAAAAATCTGGAGCTGCACTCCTAATTAATGAATTTTCAAAAGACTCTGTAAGTCTCCTCAAAACCTATCCTAATCAAGGAAGAGACATTTCCCTTTAGGACAATGTTTTGTAAAGTATGTAAAACAGTGCATGGGAAACACATCAGTAGTAATAGCTTCTGTAGTGGCAAATAACCTTTTGCTGTCTGGTGTCAGAAACAAGGAACTCACATTTTAGCCTTTTACGATTATCATATCATCATTAACAACATAGACATCTGATGTCAGGAGCATTTTATTTAAAAAGGCCATTGGATCCATCTGCTTTGCATCCCGACAGTTTGGGCCTTGGGCTATTTTGTAAAAGTGGCATTCAGAAAACTATTTGGAATTCCTTCGCTGTATTACCAAAGCCATGAACGTGGGATGGAGTAAAAAGTTTGTTCAATCCCCTAACTCGTTCTAAAAGTAAAACTGATTTTCAGAGTGAGTAGAGTATTTAGGAAGGTGAAGTTCTACTGATTATTTTTGTATATTAGACTCCTGAGTGACCAAGTTAGTTTTTAAAATGGAACTAAAATTCCCAAGACCATTACATGGTTTTGATAAATCCCATATAAAAAGTTTCATTACTTAGAACTATAAGGACAAGAGGAAATATTTGCCATGTTCTTGTGAGCTTCCTAAACAAAATGTTGCAATGCCATGACCACATGTACACCCTCATGTTGCCTCTGAGGTGGAAAAGATATTTACAAAGAGTTTAATAGCTAGCTCTGACTTTATTCCACTGTTTAAAATAAAGTATTGGTGATAGGAAAAATTAAGTGAAAAGGATAACACTGGAGCAAAGTCCTACAGTAGAGAAGGAGAGTAGGACAAAGCATATAAGTCTAGTTACAACAGATAAGAAGAAATCTTCCCCAAAGTCACACAAATTTTTAAGAGAGACTTGCTCTGTTAGAGATGGTTCTAATACTCATTCACAGTTCTAACCACATTTTCTGATTGTGAAATGGGCTTCTTTATCAAGGGACAAAAATATTTTACTTCTCTAAAATTTGTATAAAATTGTACATTCAGAATGATAAATATCAGGCCAAAACAATCATATATTACTACGTAACTACTGACACTTCGAAGAATCTCATAGAAAATACTCCTTATTGTGTTTGTTCCCCAGGCTATAAGAGAACTCTTCTAATAGATTCACTAACATCTTTGCCTCCAAACTTGGCATTTAATAGCTGTCACACCTTGCTACCAGTAAGAGCTTCACAGACCACAGTAAGATACAATGCACTGTGATGAATGAGCTGCACAAATGTTTTGCCCCTGCCAAAAACTGAAACCTGCAACAAAACCTGTTCTCTTGCTGTTACACAACACTCTTAATTCGGAAAACCAGGATTCTTTCATATATGCACCCCACATCACAGCATTCAAAAGCATACAAGGATATGAAACAGTTTCCCTAAAGGATGTACTAAATGGATCAGGCACTGCAGCTTGAAAAGGGGTTGAAGGTATGCAAGACAGATTTATAAAACCAGCAACAACACAGGCAAAACACACAGGGAGTAGTTGTACACTGTTCTTGTAGCAGAAAAAGTAGTGGGGATTTAACCAGCGGATGCTGATGGAACAGGAAAGCTGTTTCGTGCACCATAATATTACACAGGACTTTGTGCGGGTCAAATATACAATTGGATCTGAAAAAAGGGATTAAACACAATGATTGGAAACAGGTCCATAAAAGACTATTAAACACAATAATCTGTGTGCTCCATACCAGGAGTTCCTAATCCAATGATTGCCTGAATGGGAAAGGAGTTCAAAGGATCACTAAATATTTCCCCATTTTTTATGCTCTTGCCTTGGCCACTGGCAGACACTATACTGGACAAAAAAAATTTGTTCTAAACTAATATGGCAATACAGGTGTTTATGTTAGCTTGTCTCTCTGTTTTCAGCAAGGCCTGTTCAGTCAAGACGTATAATTGCATAGGAAGTTAGTGACAGTGAGATTTAAAATCTAGGGCCAAGATGTAGAGCAATGCTCAATTCATGCAGAGGCACTGAGTCAGTTTACTGCTAAGTTCAAGCTTTTCTTTAGGTCACAAGCCCTTCTTTAGGCTTCATTGCTCTGAGTCACTCTAGCTACACTAAAGGCAATTGCCCCATCTCCTTCCACCAAGGACACAGAGATCTGAGAACACAGTCTCCTGACACAGCCTCCCGTGCTGCACAATTTGGAATGCAGAAAGAAAGATGCATTTGAGGTGATCCTGTGTTAAATAAGGCAGCTGGATACTAAGTGCCTTCTAAATTGCCCCAGTGGTTCTCCCGTTCTTAAGCAGACTGATTTTGAAGTGGCATTTACTCTCCAAGTCTTGCCATGCCAGAGCATCAGCACTGTCACTGAATCACAGTGTGTGTCATTTGTAGATCCCCTTATAAGCACCTCCTAAAAAACCTCCCCTCCTCTCCCTTCCCCTCCCCTGCTGGATACTGCACAACCGTCAGTCCCGCTCCTCTCCCTTTCAATCCACTGCAGCACAACCTGTGCACACCCACACCTGCCACAGCCAACACTCTGCCTCACTTCTCTCTCTAACAAAGCTCTTTTCCCTTTCAAGCCCCTCAAAGGTGCCCAAGGCCCACAGGAGGCCACACCCAAAAAATACCCCTGTTCTCACTTCACACATCCT